ACAGTTCTCACAATTTTGGTATAAGATACTTATATATTACCTTGTTTTATTTCATCCTTGTTTGTTTTTAATAAAATAAAGAACCTAATCTTAACAAATATTACTTTAACTGAAGGCTTATATTATAAACATAATTATATGATATAAAACTTACTTATAAGTTTGAATAGTTTTCACACTTCCTGATTTAGATGAGTTTGAATTGTTAGAATAGTAAATCTTAACAACACTAGTTATACTAGTCTTGAAAATATTACTTTCATTGGTTTTAGGAATATTACTTTTATTGATCTTAGAAATGGTGTTATTAAAACTATTTATTTTTTCTTTTTAAAATATAGAATAATAGTAAATACAAATATGTTTTACAATCTTAATTAAATAACGATACATTAAATAGTAGTATACTTTGGAATTAATAATAGAAAATATTATTGATACTCATACTTACAAAAGAAAAAAAATAAAATATTTTATAATATCCAGAACTATTAGATTTATTTCCAAAACCAAGTAATTCTTGTTATTTTTGTGGTTAACTACTTAATATAAGTCAGGTTTTTTCTATATTTGTAACTGATAAATACTCCTTAAATTTGATAATCTCTTTTGTATAGTAATAATCTTGACGATCTGAAAAATGCTAAATTATTGTGTCATATAAATTTTGATAAAGCTACTAATAAGAATTGATAAGTTCATTCCTCTTATGACCCTTTTTAATCCATTTCATAGTTTTCTTATCAGGAAACAGGTTATAAAAAATAGCTGATCTGTATTTGTCTTGGATAAAAATAAGCAATGGAAATCATATTACATGAATTAAACTCGCAAATTAGGGATAGATATAGAAGTTAGTACAATATAGATAATCATTATTTTTTATAGAAATTACTTCCATAATAAATATGCTTCTGCAATAAGAACCAACATAAATAAATCTCAAAAAGACAGTAAGAAAGAACAAACTGATATTTTCAATTAATATGTATGTTAAGAGACTTATGTCTTGGAAAGTCAAAATTTTTGCAATCTTCAAATTGTCATATGTCTGTCAACTTTGTAACCTGCATAATCTATTTACTATAAAAAGTCACTAATCTTAAAAAATAAATGAAAAAAATTTTCATTCTCTTCTCTTGCATTATCTAGTTTCACTTGATCAAATATATAAACCAACATAAATCAGAATTTTTATGCTATCCACTAATATAAACAATATCTTCACTTTCACCTTTATCACCAGTTTCTATATTCTCTATATTAACAGAAGAAAGATTTACTCACACAATAACAGATATAATCAAGAAATACAAGTCTGAGAAACTTATCAACTATTTACAGAGGCAAAAAAATTTGGATCTCAATAAAACAGATTTCAAGATATTTTGCAATGAGAAAATTTTCAGTTTCAACTTTCTTGAATTAACCAAGAAGGACTTTCATAGTTATGGTCTGAAAGGAGATTAGCTACAAGACTTGCAAAATTTATTGAAGGTTTGGAACAAAAATTATGTAGCTTTTCTTTATATAAAATCTTGAAAGATTTAAAAAACATATTCCACAAATATAAAGTTAATGGTAAGAATATAATAAATATCAAACAATTCATTTTAGATATGTGATATTTTTCCAGAACCACATAGTCTTACAAATTTCTTGACAAAGTGATTGAACACAAGCTAACATTTTTTCTGTTTATAGATTCTATAAAAATCAATGATAATGATAAAGCATTCAAACACTGTATAGCAAACATCATATTAATTCTGACAAATATTGAAATGATGACAGATGCTAACAAGACTATCTGCTGTGAATTTATTTCTTCTATATTATATGCATCACTTGCTATTATTCAAAGACTTACCAAAGAGAAAAAGCTCTATATATTATTGTAGAAAGATGTCTCCAGTGAAAAAGCATCTGGTTATGTTGACTATGTGATCAAAGGAAAGAAAGATCTTATGTATATTATAGAAGGCAAGCCATGTAATATTAAAATTAGTTATCTTCAAAATATTATGCAACTCGAAAGTACATATTATATAAATAAACATATAGCAGATCAAGCTTTTGGAAACAATGAATACAATTATCTTTATGGGATCATATCCATAGGTAAAGATTTTTTTTTATTGAGTTTTCTCTTTTATTCCAAAATTTAATTACATTTTAACTAATACTATGGTTTCAAAAATTGGAATGGAACAGAAGCACAAAGAATTGCAAAAAAGTACAGAGAATTGCAAGGAATCACATAGAATTGCATGAGATTCAAAACACTATTAAAAATGATGGTGAGGTATACTTCACCTATTAAATTTAATATAAACTTGAGAATCGAATATAGAATCAAAGAGAATCATTAGGATCCTTACTAAATACTATGCTAGGTATGGATTGGTATTTTATCATTTTTACCACAGACAGGCTTTATTGTACCAGTGAAAGTGAATATTAAATAAATCTTTTGAAAACAATAGTCAAAGAAAATCCTGACATACTTAGAAATAGCATAAAATGAATAATAGAAATCATTGTTAATTTATTAAAAGATCAGATAACAGTTGATAATTCTCCAGCCAGTAAGAGAGCAAGGATCAAAAAAATTATCAAAAAATAGTATGAGATAGCTTTTTGGATTTACATGAATTTTATATATTAATAAAAATTGTTTCTAATTATAGATATAAATCAGAGAATCAAAGAGCATACTCTATTATTATTTAAATTTATTATTATAGTTTTTCTAAAGCCTATTAATTATACATAATTTTGATGCACGGAATGAGAATAATGCTATGTTTCTTCGAGACACCCTTAAAGGGCCTCCATCTAAACAATATTTGATATATATATTGATCATTTAGACTAAGTTTGTGATATAGCTAAACAGTAATATTGATTCAAAGCTTTTTTTGTGAATGACCCATTTGATCAAAAAAGCTATGGAATAATGGCCCGTTGGATAATTTTGGTAGAATTTGTTCAGATTTCTATCCATGATCTAAAGCACCTTTAGATTATTTCACAAGTATATCTTTTACTATATTTAAGTTTTGCGGAACAATTAGTATTATATATAAGCCCATTGATATCAAGATAATCAAAAAAATATTCGCATTCCAAAGAATGTATCGCCAGAATAAGAAAAAGATCCCGAGTTCATCTCAATACAAAAACAGTATATGAGCAGACAGTAGTCTTATTGGATAGGCCATATCAACTACAAGATAAACAATAATTATAGCATAAATGTTCTTTCATAATAATTGAATATACCGGTATTCCAAAGTTTTTTGTGATTTATTTTATACTTATGGTGGAGGTACTGCAAAGAAGATTTATTCCATAATTAAATCTAATAAACAATTACATGGTTTTAATGTTATATTACTTTCATTTACAGTCACAAACTGGTTAATTCATGAATCTAAGAATGAGGATCGGAGACAAGGCTATTATAAAAAGAAATTAATTAGATTAGTTAAAAGATCACTTTATTATTTGAATTTGCTATATATCTGGATATGTCCAATTGATAATGAGAATATGATGAGAAAACAATTATTGATCTAATTAGTATGTAAGATATAAATATTTTTGGTAATTTTTGGCCCTATATTATTCAAGTTTATAAATAAATTCTAATCTTTGATTTTTTTATATAAAAGGTGAAGAAAAAATATCTGTAATCCTTTATTCCTTCGTTATAATTAACAATTTGAAGTGAATAAATATTTAACAAATCTCTTTAGTTTCATTAAAGACTCTGATAATAAATTTTATCTACGATAAATAAAAAGATTTATACACTCAAAATAATATCTAATTTCAAATGATTAAGATTTGTTTATTTGTTTATATGCTATAAAAACTTCCTTACATTCATGTATATATGCTAATAGACCAATTCCACTTATAGATGACATCGCTTATTGTTTCGAAGATCACTTCATTCTTGAACTTCACTGACCTATTGATATTCGTAAAGAAAATCGCTATTTACTTGTTGGTGCCACGTTTTATTTTTTACATATCACCAAGTAAGAATCTTAATGATCCAAAATAAAATCAATTGACATTATGCCATTGTTCAAGTACAAAGGTGTCTTTTCTCCCAAAATACAAATCGAATCTATCGAAGACACATCCGTTCAACAAAATGATAAAAATCAATTCAAAGCTTCTTCTGAATTGAGTCAACAATATAACTTCAAAAATATGGAACCAATTTAAGATTATTTTTAATAGAATTATAGCAGAAAAAGTATATTATTTAGATGATATGTGTAGTTGATATTCTTAATCTTGGGGCCAGAAAACTTAAGAGATATAATTAAAAATTATTATTGTAGAATTAATGATTTAAAATAAAATAGGCATTTGGATCAATAGCAAAACAAACAATAATAAATAGCAGGAAAGAAATTGCCATTATATAGATTAGGGCTTGGCAAATTTCCTTTCTTGAAATATTCTGTTACTCCATTTATTAGTTTAGCTGATTGAACTTTTTACATTGATAATCTATTTACAAAAAATTATATATGTGTATGCGATTCATATACATTATTTAACAGACATATTTTTTTTATTCATAATACTATAACAATATTTCGGCCAGAGATTTTGATCAACTGAATTCAACAAAAATTTCATGCTATTTGTTTTACCCATCTGTTTCATCCATCAAATTTTCACATCTTTATTTAGAAATAAAAATTCCTATATTAGAATACATTTACTACCAACTTATTATGTAAAGATACAAATCTAAGACTATCTACTAGCTCCTTAATAACTAGTTCAAAAATATGCACCATATTATGATTATCAACAATAATCACAAGATTCATATATTTATTGAACCGAAACAATTCTGGTCTTTTACTATGTCTATGAGAAAGTTCCATTGAAACATAAATATGTTTTTAATTTTCAATTGAGGTTTTTATTTTCTCATGGTTCTTTGCATGCTCAGGGACATTAGATATTCAGTATTTTTCGATGTTTTTAGTGTAGTCCAAATTATAATCTACATCATCAAAGTTTAAATCTTGTCCATACTCTTTCTCTTCTATGTCATCCTCATCCTTATTTGAGTTATTCTTTTTGGCTGTAGTATCATTAAAAATTAGATCAAGACCTGTTTGAAGATGTGTTCTTTTTTTACAAGGAGAAAATTTCACAGTTTCAGAGTTTTTTCTCCTTCTTGGGCATTTCATATACTGAAATTTCATACATAACTTGATTAACTGCATTTTAACCTTATTTCACTCAATAAGACTTCCAAAAACTATACAGCTTGTTGATAACAGTACTATATTATGCTTATCATTCACAAGAGAAATAATCAAGTCTGACCTTGAATAGGTGTCTAGTTGGATTGCATAATAACTATAAGTTTCATCTTCAACATATTTGGCTATAGAAACTGCTTTTGATAGATTTGAAATTGTTACAAATTTTATTGTGGGAGTGATCCATAAATGAAGATCAAATTGTTGACCATTTTTCCACTTGTTAAGTTCCTCTCGCACATTAAGTCCATGTTTTTGAATGATTGCTGTAATAAAGATTGCATCAAATTTATTACCAATTGATGGAATGCCATTGAGCCTAATAATTTCATAAATAAAGACTTCTACCAAAGTTTTTCTTCTTGTGTTTTTAAGAAAAAGTTCTATGCTAGAAACGAGATAAGATTCAAGTGATGTGTTGGTTTCAATTACAGTATATCAGAAGTAAGTTCATCAGATCCAAGGGTAATGTATTCTGGTGCCTTGCAAGGAATGATACTGTGTTAAAAAAGCTTTATAACTGATTCGTACTTTCAATTGTAAAAAACACAAAGCCTAAGAACATCTATAATTGCTTTATTTGGATTGAGGTTATTAGCATCCAAATATTTATATACATTTTTCAAATATTCTGCCATGTTCTTGCAAATCATTTTATACTACTTATTAAGAAGTTTAATAATTTCTTTATTTTTTTGATCTTTCATTCTATTAATTGAAATCTGTTCTAATATCAACAGTTTAACAAACAATGTATAGTTTCAAGGTCATTCACTGAGAAGACATCCCAAGAAGCTAAGAATTTTGGGTGAAGCATCTGTCAGATCAATTACAATATTGAGATTCTGCAGGACATTATTATATGAAAGGAAGAAAAACTTTAGTACAATATGATCCTTCAAATCTCATTTTTTTTCAACACTAGTAACAAGAGAAATTTCTCTTAACATATGCATGTAAGTACTGGCAAGAAAACAGATAATGGGAAGATGTGTAAGATATTCAATGTAAGCCTATAAGAAATTCCATTTTTTGTTTGGAACTGAGCCCCTTTTGTATTCTTCATATTTGAATCTACATAGAACTTGTGCCTCATCAAATATTAAGGTTAGAGACTCTATATTGAGACAAGCATTGATACTTACAATAAGTACATTAATATTAAAAATATCATAATTTTCATGAACCAATTTCATTCGAATCTTAGAGTCATCCATTCGAAGCTATGCAAACAGTCATTCTTTTGGCGTTAAAATATTTTTCTTGACGAGCATCTTTATAAGTAAAAGTTTACATGAGAGTATTACCCAGTCCAGCATACAAAATACTTGCCTTTGCTTATCATGCTGTTCAAACTTTAGTCATTTATATATGGTTGCTTCAAGCTTTCTCCCTATATGGTCACCATATGTTCCTGTGCTAGGAGAAAATTCAATATATATTGTTCAATATTGCATAGCTATTTCAAACATTGTCAATGTTTTTTCATCACTTGAAACTCCAGCAAGTAAAACTATGTTTCCAATATTATTTTCAATCTTTTCTTTCACAAAAGAAACTGTTTCTTTAAATTGTGATTCATCATAAAAGGAATTATAATAATTCACTGTTCCAGATTCATAAGAAGGAAGACACAGATCAACTGTTATGAGAGTTTGTTTGGTTATACCTTAGGGTAATCATACTTTGAAAAAGGAGGATTCTGCTTTCAGTTTAATATACAGGTCATTTTATGGATCTGGAGAATCACATTTCTCTGTTTCAATGTCTCAAATTAAGGTAAGCATATAAACAAGCTAGTCAATTAAAAATTTATTTACATTTGGGAAGGCCTTTATAACTAAAAAACAAGAGTGAACGTGAGCAAAAAATTATTTAAAAGAACTAAGCTTCTAATGCAACGAACCTTTGTTTTTAATTTTAATTTTAACTTCATCAGAATAGATGTATGAAACTAATACAGTGAAATAAAAAGAAATAAAACACTTGAGATCTGCCTGCCATTGTCAATCACAGACTTAAGCTATAAAAAGATATCTTTGTTTGTGTGATAAACAATTAGGAGACACTTATCAATGGTGACAGGACATGCGATTATATGGATAATTTCATCTGGAGGTGTGTATCTTTCTGGAAAAAACTTCTTAAAGTTACTAATATTGCTCATTTTCCTATCTCTGAGCTGTTTAATTTCAGTTTTGATAAGAGAATTATTAAGTTTTTCCTAAGGAACTTCAACTTTCCAAAATACTAGTTCATTGTAATCCTTGATATTCTCCATATTATGCCATTTTCTTATATTATTCTATATCAGCTTCTTGAGATGATTGACAATGAGATTGTTAATAGAAATGTCATAACTATCTGAAATTTTATTTCTTTTGCAAATATCAACTGATAAAGCACACCCAAAACCTATAACAAAACAGGATAATACTATTTCAGCTATATTTCTGAAAATACAAAAATCAAAGTTAAAAACAAAGGTTGAAATCAATTTTTTAGTAAAATATAAATAATAACCTTAGCCAATAACTGTTTGAATAAATTGCCATTTTGATTTGTATTTGTAATATATGTTATAAACTGCAGGGATAACTACGAATATAAACTAATCCAAAAATGTTAATATGAAAAAAAATTCAAAAATTCAAAAATTCTTGGTTTATGTATTTTATATAACATATGACAAATTATATAATTTTTTGATTATAGATTAGTTTAACGAAATAAGACAATTTTGATCGACAATAGGAAGTCTATTATGAAGGCAATTACGAGAAAAGATGTCTATATATATTATCCACATGTACTGTATATATTTTTTCATGTATATTATAAGTATTAGGTATCGATATATACTGAAACTAATGATATCGTCACTGTAGAATCAATATTGAAATTAACAATAAACTTACTGTAAAAATCGCAAACATTAATACACATAATGCCAACTACATTATGAGAGACATAGAGAATTTTAAGAATGATCGATAATATAACTAAGAGATCCAATTCAATTTAAGTAAATTTTTGATCAAATTATATTCAAAAATAATTATACTTTAAAGAAAATATATCTTTTTGTAGATATGAACATTTGTTCATTGGAAGGAAATATTAAGAAGGTGATAGTAAAAGGGTTTTATAAGAGAAATATTAAAAAGAAGAATAGTTATATTAGTACTTTAGATCAAATTGGTTTATGGATTGATAGTAAAACAAATAATCTAGGTAGTGAGTAGTGGAAAAGGAATTGTCATTCTTGGGGTCTAGAGGTTGGCTAATTCCTTTCTTGAAATCCTGTTATTTGATTATTTAATTAGCCGGGTCTCAATCTTTTCAATATTTATTTTACAAAAATAATAAAGATATAATTTGACCTTTTTAATTATTGTATCATGCTGAATAATTTGATTTCTCTGATACTTTGATTGCCGAAATTTTTACAGAATTCAAAATCTGAAGTGTAAACCGAATTCAATCATGTTTATGTTTTTTGGCATTTTTCTGAGACATTATGTTCTGCATGGCTTAATAATCTTATGGAAGAATGGAAAAAAGTCTATACTCAATTCATACAAATTTTTATCAAATTTGCGAAATAGAAAATAATATAAATTGTATCATAAACAATATAACTAAAGTCTATTATTTCTAATGTATATAATGAATTTATTAATTATTTATTGCAATAGCAAATTTACATATTTCATGAATTTGTATATATGATACATTTTATTTTTTAACTAATATCAGTAATGTATTTGCAGTATCTTTGGCAGTAATAATATTACTAATTGTTTAAGGTGATAAGTATGTTGCACCTGATATTAATCTTCTAAACATTTTATATATGTATAAAAAAATAATTCGAGAATAACAATCTGGATTAAAATTGAATCATAATATTCTAGAGTATATAGTTATTAAATCAAATAGATCCAAATCCTTAAATTCAATATAATTACATAATTAATAAATAAGTTATAAAATGAGTGATTTTAGTAGTTTAGTAACTTATCAGGATTTTAAATATTCAGATAAAAAATAGATTGAATATTGTGTGATGCCACAAGTTTGCAATAATGAAACTTCCAGTGAATAGATAAAGTGGATTTGGAAATATCTTACATATTTTAGAGAAAATAATCTTTTATCTTATAATAGCAAAAAATATCTTAAAGCTAGAAAGTTAAAAAAATATTGAAATGATCTTAATGGACAGAGTCTAGACTCTTTGAGTTATAAATTTTATATAAGTTATACACCTGAAATTGATATTGCAATATGTTTCTCTTGTAATTAATTAGTATATATAGGAAAGTGAACCAAAAATATAGGTAATTATAATTATATAGAAATGGAAAGGCATTGGGCTTCTCATTGTACTAAAAATGGCTTTTGTAATATAAGTTATAAAAAATATAGAAATTAAGCAAAACTTTAATTCTAAATATAATTATAATAATATGTATATATTATATCAAAATAAATTATGGATATCCAATGCTATTAAAAAAGTTAAGTATACAAAAGAAGCTAAAAAAAAGATCAAAGTTGTAAAAGTTATATAACAAAAATGGTTAGAGTATATATTTTGCCCAGATGGTATAACAGTACATAAGCTTGTATCACATTATCAGCTTTTATAGACAGTTCGAAAAGAAATATATTAAATTAACAATATATAGATTATATATACAAAGCAATTATTTATTAATCCATTTTCATATGTCACAAAAATCCCTAATATTAATAATAGATTATGCTTACTATTATTATATATCTACTTAAATTTTATATTGGCTAAAAATAATCAGCTTCTTAATAAAAGAGGATAATAATATATTGTTATATATCATTTCTACCTCAGGAGAAAAATAAAAACAGAGAACTAGTAACAGGGAGGCACTTTAGATGAACAGAACCAATGTGGTATGATAAAGTTCTTAAAGGTATACAGATTAGTACAATTTTGAGATATATGAGGTCTAACAAAAGAGGCAATAGTAATTTGTTTTGTAAAGATCAA